GCTCCATTAGGATCTGTATTCGACCAAATGAAGTACTATTATAACCCTGTAAAAGTGTTAATCGTCACCCCTGTTTAAGCATGTGGGAGATTATACAATAAGAGATCTGGAGTCAGCGCAGCTAGTCCAGCCTGAGTCAACAGAAAGTAAAAGCTGAGGGTATGTGGTCCACTACTCACACGAACAATGCAAAAGGGGTTTCACCAGCAGCACAACACTCATTCGCTGTAGAATTTGCTCAGCGATGTTATCATGAGCAGGGCTTCCCGTGCATCAACATTTGCGCTATCATGAAATAAAGAAGCAAAAGCCATCCCAGGATGAGCAGATTTAATGTACACTTGGGTAGTTGGTGGACCATGAGCTCTAGATCAGACACAACTGGATTCAGAGATCCCTGAATTACTCGTGTGTGTTACCAACTCTTTCTCAGGAAGTTTGCATTAACATGAAGGGGGACATTAACTATTAGTTACACAAATAATCTTTACTTACAAAGCATCGGAGGTTACGAAGGAAGTGTTTAACAAGAAGCATTGACCTGGTGTAGAGGTTAAGAAAAGGCTTATCTGAAGAAAGAATATTAAATCTAAGAACTGGGGAAAGAGAAGCCAGGAGGGGGAGAGAGCCTCTTGGCAGAGAGTAAATTGTGGTATAGAGGTTTCATAAGGAGCCTTGACTCTTTAAAGGAAACACCAAGAGGCGGGCTGGTTCCTACCAAGGTGGCAAGGTCTTGGGCCTATTAAGGATCTGAGTTTATACTAAAGCACTGTGAGCCCACTGGAGAAGTTTTAGGCAGTAGAACAACAGAACAGGATCAGTTATGTGTGTCCCTGAAATCATTCCTGCCTGGTCTGGATGCTATGTAGAGAATAAACTAGAGCAGTGAGAAGGGTTCAGAGGCTATTGCAGAATTTCAGATATGTGGCTCAGGATGACTGGGAGTAACAGTTTCATTTGGTGCCAGAAGAGGAGCAGAAAAGATTTGAAAATATTTTAGGTTGTTAGAGTCAACAGGAAATGTTTTGGACATTCAGTAAGTAGTAAACACCTCTGCCACAATCCCCGCAGTCAGATGGTTTCAGCCTGTGGAGCCACCTCCCTCGTGTTGGAGAAGGCAGGTATAATTTTATATATCTTAACGGTCATGCACGCTTTTGATGTCCCCTTCATACACGGCCAAATATTCCTCTAGGCACGTGCCCCACGCCCAGCTAGTTTTTGTACTTTTAGTAGAGATGGGGTTTCACCATGTTGGCCCGGATGGTCTCATTCTCCTGACCTCCTGATCCGCCCACCTTGGCCTCCCAAAGTGCTGGGATTACAGGCGTGAGCCACCGCACCTGGTCAATTTTTTATCTTTAGTAGAGACGGGGTTTCTTCATGTTGACCAGGCTGGTCTAGAACCCCTGACCTCAAGTGATCCGCCCTCCTCAACCTCCCAAAGTGCTGGGATTACAGGCATGAGCCACCGCACCCAACCAGAAGTGACTCAAATTTTGACAAAAATGTATTATTTTGCTCTTCATGAATATATGACTGTCCTTCTCATGGTTTCCTTTTGCCTTTTCATAGTTTCCAGTTTTGTTCATTGCCATGGTTGCAAAGAAAACAACTTTAAATCCTTGAGAATCAAATTAAAGTCAAGTCAGGAAACTTTTTCCTACTGAATATTGTAAGAGCATTTGTCAGGGGAATCCCCTGGCATCCAACCAGAACTCACCCTCACAAACTAGAGAATTTTCTCCAGGCAGATTACTATGTCCTACAAGGAAACCTCTACTTCTTTCTTGCATGATTTTTTTCCTTTTTTTTTTTTTGTTTGTTTGTTTTTTGTTTTCTGTTTTTCTGTTTTTGTTTTGAGACGGACTTTCGCTATTACCTCCCTGGCTGGAGCACAATGTGCAATGGCACGATCTCAGCTCACTGCAACCTCTGCCTCCCTGTTCAAGTGATTTTCCAGCCTCAGCCTCTTGTGTAGCGGGGATTACAGGCACCCACCACTACGCCCAGCTAATTTTTGTATTTTTAGTAGAGACAGAGTTTCACCATGTTGGTCAGGCTGGTCTCAAACTCCTGACCTCTGTTGATCCGCCCACATCTGCCTCCCAAAGTACTGGGATTACAGGTGTGAGCCACTGTGCCTGG